GCCCACAAAAAATGGAGCGGAAACGGCTGGACCCCATTACAACAGGCCTCGTAACGAGTTCTTCGCGCGTTGCTCAATCCGCGCGCGGTTTCAACCTCGCCTTAATCCTCCGCGATCCGCTTCTCCATCGCGAGAATATAATAACGCCAGCTACGATATTATATCCGTCCGCGCGACGACGGCGACGACGACGAGGACGAATTCATGCGAATGCAGCTTTTTTCTCGTAACCGTAACGGCGAGAAGAAAAGAAAAGAAAGAGAGAGAAAAAAAAACGGGGAAAAAAATTGGACAAGTTACCTCACCTCACCTTACGCTCACCTCGCCTTACCTTACCTGCAATGATCGCGTTCGATAGTCCGGTTACGTTTCGCTTTCGCGTAACTCGGATCCTACCGCTTTCTTCGTTATTTAATTGTCGGTAGAAAGTGTCTAAAACGTATATATATATATATACACATATATATATACACAAGTTTGTCAACGAGAAATCGATCCTTAAAAATGGAATCATAGTCGTTGTCGGAAAATAACGTCCATTTATTGTCTCTGTTTTTAAACTCGCTCGCGTTAAGATTGATTCGCGTTATTCGCCTCAAACGCGATTAGCGGTATGTTATTGAGCGGTGATATCGAATCGAGTCCGGCACCGAGTCGAGAAAACGCTATCTCTTCGTAACAATTATCGTTTCGATCGATTTCTCTTAAAAAAAGATACATTTACCGTGCAACGACGACGAGAAAGAGTTTTTTCTTTTTCTCTTTTAATAAACAAGAAAGAGAAATTCACCGGTCGATCTTTTTCCAAAAAAAAAAAAAAAAAAAAAGAAAGCAACCGAGAATCAAAAATATTTATTCGTACATCTTGATGATCGAGACCTCATCCCGGTGGATTTTTCATTCGAGGGACGAGAGAGAGAGAGAGAGAGAGAGAGGGGTAAATCTTTTTCACAGGCACCGATGCTGGTGTCTGCTATCCTCCCCCTCTCGGGCCCCGTTGTCTCGCGCTTTAATTTCCAGCCTCGACATTTGCGTAACCCAGTTTCGCCATTGTTCGATTCAATGGTAGATCGTAACGTCCGCCATCCGGATAGAAGATTATAATGCTCGCGTGTATATGGCACTGCGCATCGTTGCGCCTCGGCTGTGTGAGTGCGAACGCGGTTCCACGGTGTGCGTGCAACTCTCCGTGTCGCGTCGTGCCGAAAGTGCGCGCGCGAGCGCGAGCTCGTATTAGTATGCCGGGGCGATAAGCGAGCGCGACGAGAGTTCGCGCAACGAAATTTACGAATTCCGCCAACTTTCTCCTCTTGTTCTTATCTCCGCTCACTCCGCTGCTCCAACGCTCAACCTCGGGCCAACCTCGTCGTTGCACCAATTCCCACTGTGCATCGTGCATCTTTCTCCTTTTTCCTCCTCGAAACAACGAACGCATAACCACCAGCCTTACTTACGTCTTGCACGATTTCGTTTGCACACGAGACGACCGACACGCGGTTGTTGGTTCTCGTTGGCTCGTAGCGAGTCTCCCAACGTACACTCGTTCGATAATCGATGATTATTGCACGTTCTCTTTCGTCGTCGATTGATCGAAAAAACGATTGGTGTAAAAAAAAAAAAAAAGGAAAAAAAAGGAAAGAAAAAGAAAAAGAAATAAAAAAGAGGAGATCGATCGATCGATCGATCTTTTTACGAATATATCGAATCGCGTATTTCGTATCGCGTCTCGCGTTACTTTCATCCGTCAAATAAGCGTTTGAGCAATATCGCCACATATACATTCGCGTCCAGCAAATGTCATTGTTAGAAGTTGTAGGTATGGAAATGTGTACGCGTTACGAAATATACCAGGTACTAGATATTTGAAGTAGGAATAACGCTTCGCGTCTATTTTATATAATTTTCACGGTGTAGAAAGTAATAGCTTAAATATCGCGATGAACGATCGCGATGATTGTAGCAAATCGCACCACGTCACAGTAGGAAACGTTCATATCCATACTACTATTCATTGCTGAAAGGGTTAATAAATGACACGGTCACTTTTACGACGTGAGGATTAATTCGCCGGCGAGGTCGCTACGAGGTGTATACGACGTGTGAAAACCGTGAATAAGAGGAGAGAGAAAAAAAAAAAAAGAAAAAGAAAAAGAAAAAAAAGAAAAAAAAAAAAAAGAAACGTGTAAATACCGATATACTATAGATAAAAAACTAGTTTTCTTATCATTAACTTCACCGCCAACTTGGTAAAAAGCTTCGTAAACTCGTTCGATGATACGTGAAGATGATACGCGATACACAAACGGGGGAGACGAGTTCGAAGCGAATAAGAACGCATCTTTTTTTCGACGTTTCTTTCTCACGAGAAGAGAGAACAGCAGGAGGACTGACAGGAAAGGAACGCTCCAATTTTCTCGATCGAGGAGAGATTTCGTATCCACCGCCAAAGCTTGCCGTGAAGGACGTACTCCTATTTATCGACGTACAGCAAGATAGAACACGAACTCGACAGCGGTTACCGACGCGTCGAGAAGCGATCGAGAAGAGGGCAGCACCTACAAAGAGTAGGCGCGCGCGACTACTCGCCGTTCCTGCGAAGTAAAATCGGCGGGTTTGGATCGTTCACCACCCCCTCCACCCCGAGGAACAAGTGGGCCAGAGTTTCTGCATGCAGTGGCACGGGGCCTTGCCCCCACCTACCACGAATGGCACGAGACCCCGCCCGGCGAGTCTTCAAGGCCTAAATAGAAGAAGAAAGACGAACGTAAGCGTAAGCGTGGACGTAATGCAGCCGGTCGGCCAGCGATTGACCCTGAACTTCACGAGCCGTGCTTGCTAACGCCAGCAACAAACGGCGCAGACGCACCAGCGATCATTTCCTTATTCAGCGATTTTCTTCGTAAACCGAGAGACCACCGTATGCGTATGCGTACCAGTACCAGTAATGCTACCATATTTCTCGCCCAAGGACCGCTTTCCCCCTCCCCCTTCCCTCTCCTTTTCCCCAGAGAGAGATCTGTCTCTCGATTCGCTTCTTCGCAGTTATATCTTATATCTCGTTCGATCTTTGGGTAGGAGAGCTTTGATACGAGCTGCGATATACGCGTATCGGCATTGAAGTTTTTACATCAAAGATCGATATCTCCAACGTAGATACGCCGAGTTTTATTACGTTTTAAGTGAAAATAAACGGCGATCGTTGAAAACGTATCGAATAGCATCGAATAGCTCGGACTGGCCTTGATCTCGGAATATCGATTAACGAAAGAAAGAAAGAAAGAAAGAAAGAAAGAAAGAAAGAAAGCAATGTGTACGTGATCCGCGGTCGCCTGAGAAAAAACACCGGGATTCACGCCCTCCTCGCGACTCTTACCCAAGGTCTTCCCTTTCCAATCCGATCGGATCACTCATCCAAGGCAAACTTACGTTGATGAATACCCGCTGACGAACTCCTATATCATTCCACTGTCACGTGAACGTTTAACTAACGAAATTATCTTCGATTATCGATCTATTATCTTAGACTCTCCTATTTTCTAAAATCTATAGAAACAATTTAATACGATTTAAAAAAAAATTTAATTTAATCTCTCAATCTCTCCGCTTCGAAACACGAAATACACTCGATACAATTTATTTAACGCTAAGCTTGACGACGAAGCCTCGAGATATCCGATATCCCCATTCTTTGCGTTCTAAATTCGACAAGAAAAAAAAATTTAATTCTCTCTCAATCTCTCCGCTTCGAAACACGAAATACACTCGATACAATTTATTTAACGCTAAATTAAGTTTCGAGATATACCCATTCTTTGCGTTCTAGATTCGGCAAGAAGAAAAAAATAATTTCGTTCCCTCTGATCACTCGTGAATGTTAATCGTGAAACTCTTTGCGGCTGGGACACGTTTGACATTGCGGAACAACCGGCGTCGATGTTTACGGCATTGATTTCGTAATATTAATTACACTTTTGCCCGGCCAAGAGAGTATATAAAACGTGAAATCAAACTTTCTCTCCCGCGGCCTCCCTTGGGAAACGACGAAATCATCAAAATTGTTGCGCGATCAAATGTCAAATTCACTTCAAACATAATCGAGAGGGGGGGAAGAAGAATAAAAAGAAAAAGAAAAATGAAAAAATATGACGCGAATTGTCATACATTCGTCATTACGTCATCGCCATTACAGCGAAATATAATTTACGACTACTCATTTTTCAACCATTATTTATTATTTTCTAATGTCATTCCGTTCGATTCACTCGCCCCCCCCTTCAACCCCCTCCTCCCAGAGTCTCTCGACTCGATCGATCGATTGATCGATCCAAGAACAGACGCGATTCCATCTTACGTTTATCGATGCAACGATATCACGTCACCGAACTTTATAAAATTCCCTTCTCGTACGAACATATAAAAACGATTCTCTAATCGTTCTAACGATTAATAATAACGTAACGTGTATTCCATTACCTTTCACCCCTTCTCCTTTTTAGCCAAGGAAGGGATCGAATCGGGAATAATTCGAATGAGCCTGAATAATCGTTTAGATTATATTGTTTAAAAAAAAGCAAGAAAGCCGAGGAGAAGCGAGAAACGTCGGAGAAACGTGAGAAACGTAATCTCGCGACACGTCACCGCCTTCCGCCGTTTCCACACGCGTATAGGCGGGGCGAGCAAGGATGAAATTAGTGTAACGAAGCCGGCCTCTCTATCTCTTTCTCTCTCTCTCTGTCGCGCATGCGCGCGACGAGACGAGCGTTAATTTTATTGGGTTAAGGACGCGAACGAAACGCGTATATCTCGCTCGTTCTTTTCGCCTCGTTGCGAAAGAATTTCCACGGAAAACGTTTTCGTTTCTTCGCTTCATATTCCCCTCTATATATATACGATGCCTGTTCGAGGATAGGGGAGAGATGGAGAGAACGCATCGACTAATATAAATAATAATAATAATAATAATAATAATAATAATAATAAGAATCGACTCGTTGTTCCAGACGATGTATACTGACGGTCTCCTCACGCTCCACTATGGGAAGCATCCGGCGACCTTGGCCGCGGAGGTAGGAGCCTGGTACACCGGGGACCGTCACGTGGACGTGACGTTGGCATGCGACGATGGGTCGGTGGTGAAGGCCCATCGCGTTGTTTTGGCCGCAGCTAGTCCCCTTTTGGCTAGTCTCCTTCGCAACCCCGCCCTGGACCACGTGGTCCACTTGTCAGGGGTGCGAAAAACCCAGCTCACCCACCTCCTGGAATTCCTCTACAACGGAGAAGCCCTGATCCCGGTAAGCGTCCCTTCTCCCTCCCCCTCTTTTTTTCTCCCGGATAAGTCCTCGGATAGGCTAAGTTTTTTCCGGGAGAAGCTTGGAATAAAAATGAAAAAAAACTCGTATTCGTATCCGACAGTCGACGGAGCTCACGCCACTCAGGGAATTGTTCGAGCTTCTCCAGATAAAGTCGGAGCTGTTCGAGCCTAACCAACCGCAGACCTCCACCAACTCCGACCCCGAAAGGATACCCACCCCCCAACCCTCCGAGGGCCAGGAGAGCTCCAGCTACGAATCGCAGTACGACGGCAGGTCGGTAACGTTCCTTCTCTCCTTGTGTGACGACGCACGAGGATCAACAACCCTTTTTCGCTCGAACCAACAATTGGATTTCCCGAATCCCCGTTCGGTGGATTTTCTTAGCTAATTTGAAACGATTTCACGCGCGAATTAACGCGTATAAATTTTTGTATTCCAATTTTAGGTATCTTAGGTAAATGTAAAGAATGAAAATTTGTGGAATGTTGAAGTCTATAGTCGTTCTTTCGAGGGATATTTTGATAATAAAGTGATTATTAAGATGCATCCTCGGGGTAAATATCGCCATAAAATGTTTGATGTTTTTCATCTTTTTTATTTTATTGAAAGCAAACTTTACAATGACTCACATTGTGCTCTCACATTCACCGTCTATTATTCTTATTATTTTCACTATTTTCTTTCTCTCTATCGTCAATTAATAATAGAATAGAAATAATTTCGTTATTTAATAACGAAAAACTCGTCTTGAAGTGTATATCTCAATAATGTGCTCTCATATTCACCGTCCATTCTTATTTTTCACCTTTTTATATTATATCTCTATTTTCATCGCTATTTGTCAATTTCTTAACGAATACAAATAATTTCGTTACTTAATAACGAAAAATTTATCTTGAACTGAATATCCCAATAACGTGTTCTTATATTCACTGTCTATTATTTTCATTATTTTCCTCCTCTCTATTGTCGATTTCTTAATGAATACAAATAATTTTGTTATTTAATAACGAAAAACTCATCTTGAACTGAATATCCCAATAACGTGCTCTCACATTCATCGTCTATTATTCTTATTATTTTCATCGCTATTTTCCTTCTCTCTATTGTCAATTAACGAATAGAAATAATTTCGTTATTTAATAAAACTCACGTTGAATAATAACGTGTTTTCACATTTACCATCTATTATTCTTATTATTTTCATCGCTATTTTCCTCCTCTCTATCGTCGATTTCTTCTTAGAAATAATTTCGTTATTTAATGAAACTAACGTTGAATAATAACATTCACCGCCTATTATTCTTATTTTTCATTTCATATTTATCTTACTTTTCTTAATACATCTCTATCGTCCCTTCTCTCTATCATCAATTAACGAATAGAAATAATTTTGTTATTTAATAAAACTCGTCTTGAATTAATATTCCAAAAACGTGTTCTCACATTCACTATTATTCTTACTCTTCTTATATTTTTACCTAACGAAAAATCAAACTCATTACAAACTCGAAAACTTTGAAAATAATATTTCTATCAAACTGTCAAACTCGAAAAAAAATTAGTTCGATCACGGTTTAATTCGAGATAAAAAAAAAAAAATCTAACCATTCGATAATACATTATTCCACGCTTTACGATATTTAAAAAAAAAAAAAAAAATCAAACGTATCCGAGCGCAAAGGGTTAAATTTCTTTTCCCCTATCCCGTTCCCCTTTCCTTCCACACTTCCGAAAAACCGAGTCGATGATCGACGATCGACGGACTTTCAGACAGTCCAACAATCCCGCGGACTGTTGCTCGGTGCTCATAAAGACGGAGGGATGCGAGGAGGAAGCGGAGGTGGACGTGGAAGGCGTGGAGGAGGCGCTGCTCACCGAGGGGAACAGGGAGAGCAGCATAGAACCGCCGAGGCGGAGGGACAGCTCCGACCCCGTCAATCTTAGCCTGAACTCGGGCACCTCCACGACCAGCGAGAGCTCCCACGACATCGTGCCCAGGTAAGAAAGAGAACCGATCCCCTTCGAAAATCCCTCCTCTTCGATTTTTCACAGGGAAACTTCAATTCTTCCTCCCAAATCTTCCCCCCCCCAAATATTTATTTATATATTATATATATTATTATTATAATATTAATATATTATTATAATATATAATTTATAATATATAATTATAATATATATATTATATTAATATATTATTATATATTATATATATTATATATACACATATAATAGGCCGGAGAAACAATTGCTGGAGAGGCGGGAGTCGCTGGAGGAGGCGGAGGAGAGGAGGAGGCAGCTAGCAGCCCGGCTCGCGCTGGGCCTGGAGCCGGGGAAGCGGAAGCCGGAGGAGATACCGATCCCGCCCGCGGAGGCGTACATAGTGACGCCCCACAGGAAGCGGAGGCCAGGCTTCCACAACGCGCCCGCACAGAACCCTGCCTTCGTCCCGTTCAACCCTGGATTCGAGACGCCGAGGAGGTTGCAAGCGCCCCGTCCCCTCAGCGTCTCCACACCCCCCTACCTGGTACGTGTCATCAGGCGGTCAGTTGTAGCCGCGCGCGTCCCGCCTCTTCGAGGCGGGGAAAGAGAGAGAAAAAGAGAGAGAGAGATAAACGGGGGGGTTTTCGCACGTTTGTTTCCGTTTCCGGCAGCAGGACAGGTCGGTGACGCCGCCCGGTGGATCGCACAGGCCGCCAAGCGCTGACCCGGCGACGGCCGCTGGCCTGGAACCGCCGTGGGGCTCTTGGGCCCTTCCCTCGACCAGGGCCCCGCCGCCCCCGCCCACCGACGACCCGCCGAAATCTACCCCGGTGCGCGAGTACAGGTGCAGCTACTGCGGGAAACAGTTCGGGATGTCGTGGAACCTCAAGACCCATCTCAGAGTGCACACCGGTGAGAAACCGTTCGCGTGCAGGCTGTGCGTCGCCATGTTCAAGCAGAAGGCCCACCTGTTGAAGCACCTCTGCTCGGTGCACAGAGGGGTGATAGCGGCCCCGGACAACACCTTCACCTGTTGCTTCTGCTCGTTGAGCTTCGACAGCCTTCAAGAGCTCATCAGGCATCTGTCCGGGCCCCACAACAATCTCCTCCTGAGCAAGAATCTGCACGACTAGCGACGCGGATCAAGCCCGACGACCGCCCCCTACCCCTCCCGTCGCCTTCGTCGTCGTCCCCCCCCCCGCCCCCGCAAACCCTCCCCGAATATCTCGAGAATCGATCCGGGAAAGAGCGAAACGGAATTCGGATATCAGGGAGAAGTAATAAACGCGCGAGTGCCTTTCAAGTGAATTCAACAACTTTTCCGTGATCGACGAGATACGATAATGATAATGATAATGATAATGATAATGATAATGATAATAATAATAATAATAATAATGGTCTCCTCTTTCGCCATATTTTTAAATATATCGATCTCGAGATGATCTCGAGAGTATTCGTTGCTATTATTATTATTACGAAAACAATTTTCTCCGAGGATAAACTCGCGCGCTCGTAAAATTTTCGTAAATTCTAAATCATACTTTTTCGACGAACTTTTCGTGATTTTTTTTTTCGCGAATCTTTTTTCCCCCCCTCTCCCCCCTTTCTTCGAGAGAGAAATAACGGCAAGAAGCATCGAAAGAACCTTTCGCGATTAAAAAAGAAGAAAATAGAAAAAAGCGTTACGTCGTTTTCGCGAACGATTTCAACAAGTTATACTCGAAAACGATGCAACGAATTCGCCACATTGTTTATTATTATTATTATTATTATTATTATAATAAGCGATGACCAGTAACTCTGACCAAATAACATATTTCCGGCGATCGACGGATTCGTGTATCGGAAGTGTGTGTGTGTGTCGGACTAATGTTCAACGGTCTCCTCGCGTTAAGGAAACGTTAAGAGAGTCGAAAAAAGAAACGAGAATAAAGTATATATAAAAATATAAGAAGAAGAAAAAGATAGAAAAGATACATAAACATATATATATATATATATATATGAAACGAAGAGAGGCGAAGAGAGTCGAGAGTCAATTACGACCGTTTGTGACCGCAGATAAAAGAGCGCCGTAATAATTTATCGATCGATCGAGCAAAGTATACATGCATACATACATACATACATAGAGAGTGTATTATTCGCGCAAAGTGAATTCGAAACGCATCCTTCTCTCGTCGCGTCTTTACTTATTCGAGCAAGGAAGATAGAGAGGGAGATTGCTTTGTTAAGAAAAAAAACGCTTCCCGTTCGCGTCACGTGACACACAACAGAGCCGCAGCAAAAAAAGGAGAAAGAGGAGAAGAAAGAGAAGGAGGAGAAGAAGAAAAAGAAGAACCTCTCGTTTACCTCAGATCGCGCGCAAAACAATCTCACAAATGTGTAAATAATAATAATAATACCGTTTTACCGTTTTATGTAGTAGGTAGTAGGAAACAATGCGGACGGATTTAATTTATTTTACACTTTGAAAAAAGGGACCAACTGATTTTTCCACCGATTTCTGTCTTAGGTAGATTTTAGGTATCCTGCCCTGTCAATCGCCTCGAACAAATTTGCTTTGCTGGAAAGAGAGAGAGAAAGAGAGAGCTGTGAAAAGTCGGTATTCGGAAGGGAAAAAGAGGAAAAAGGAAGAGAGAGAGAGAAAAAAAAGAGGGAAAAAAAAAAAAAAAGAAAAAAATTGTCTAATCATAAACAACGCGGATAAAAAAGGATACGATCGGGCTGTTCTCTTTTCGTCCCGCGAAGAGGAGGAACATTTATCGGGCGATTTTAAGATGGAAGAAACGACAATAATTGTTGTTGTTGTTGTTGTTGTTGTTGTTGTTATTATTTTTTTTTTCAAACTGTTGTCCAGAGAGAAAGAGAGAGAGAGAGAGAGAGAGAGAGAGAGAGAGAGAGAGAGAGAGAGAGAGAGAGAGAGAGACGTTGAAGAAACGTTGCCCAATGTTCTTCCACGTGATTCAACAATCCTCGTCTTCCAATCGATCGTGAACAACAACCTTCCTCCCTTTTTATCCTTATCCCATCTTGCGTTCTTTATCCATCCACGCGAAACGTTTGTTTGGTATCTCAGCGACTCGAGTGCCTTGTCAAAATGGGTCCAAAAATTGGTCGATTGGGCAGTGATTTCATGTGTTCATAGGCTTAAGATTACGCGTAAGATGATGACGAAATACACGAGCTCGCTTAGGAATTGAAAACGAAAAAAAAGCGTTAATTAATTTTCACGTAGAGAAAGAAGAGATGTTTTTAATTATCACTCGAATTAATAATCCAAGTTTCGTTAGGATTCTCTTAGATAGATTGTTTTTTTTTTTTTTAAGTAGTAGGCTTTTGTTTCTCTAATTTCTTTTTTTTTTTTTTGTTGGCGCAGGACGTCATGAGTTTTTTTTTTTTTTGTAGATAGGTATTTACTACCTAAGGTGCCTTGAAGAAGGGCCTCGACCTCTCTTTAGCTCCTTGGCCATACGAAAATCTCGGGGACGAGATGGAACGAGCGATCTTGGACAAACAAAGGAACGCGAATAATTAATCTTAAGAATTGGATCGAAATTTTCTCGCGCGAAACATTCCATCTCGTGAAAAACATTGACTTTGCGATAAAAAACCACGATAAAAATCTATCGAGTTTAACCTAACATCGAAAAAACCCTATTGTAAAGAAGGAAATTTCTCTAAAGCGTATCTGCTTCTTTTTTAAGGATCTTCCATATAATGAATGAATAAACGGTCGATAAAATCATCTCATTCCAGTCCGTAGAATTTCCATAGTGTTCGCAAAAACATTCTATCCCGAACGAGGATGAGATCGCTCGTTCCATTTTCGCCTTTGGCGTGTATACACGCATATACGCGGCGTGTATGGAAGTGAGAAAAAGAAAAAAAAGGGAAAAAAAAAAAAAAAGAAAAAAAAATGAAAAAGAAAAAGGAACGTAAGAAGAGGTTAGAGGGGTGGTGTGCGCTCTCATTTAAGCCAGGCAAAAATGGCCAGCACAAAACAGTGAACGCAATGTGATACTAAATGATAATAAAGATAAATGATAATTATTGTTTAGCGTGCAAACGCGCTTCGGCGAAACTCGCAGGCTCGTGGCTCTTTTAAATAAAAAAGGAGAAGAAAAAAGAAAATATATATATATATATATACATATACATATACGTATATATATATATATATATATGTATATGTATATATCTATATATATATATCTTTCGAACGCGAGAGGAAAGAAAAAGTTAAATAGACATCCGATCTTTTTTTTTCTGCGAGCCGCCTAAATAATTTTTTCTAGTAACTAACTTTTCGTCGTTTCTCTTTCCAACCCTCTCTCCTCCCTTCAAACCCCCTCGTCCAACCCCCCTTGTCCCCTCTTCTCGATACATAAGCGCACTAGGTTTACGTATATAGATTATTTTACCGTTAATTAGTTACGTTTATTGTGTATACACACACACACACACACATACAAGTACATACAGAGGACACGTATACGCATACATACACAAACAAAAATACACGACACTCGCGGCCAGATGTCCTAAGGAAATACGAAATAATTATTATAGGAGATAAATCATTCTCGATCTTTTTTTTTTTCAACTTCAATTTTATCACGGAAAGAGAAAAAAAAAATCTTAAAAAATTTGCTCAATATTTTATTCGATAATAATTTTTATATGAGGTCGAGAAAGTGGATAATCGATCGAAGTTAAAATGTTTTAAGAATTAATTTTTCGAGTCGTTAAATCGAAATGGAAATTTATGAAAAATTTTTTTGGCAGCTTTGTCGGAATGAGATAATAACAATCGCGTTGATTTTTTTCGAATTTTCTCGATTGTTTGTTCTTCGGGCATCTGGCCAGAGTGTCTCCAAGTAGAATTTAAGCATCTTCCGAGCGGAGAAAAACGTTTCTCCGCGTGCTTTCTTAGTGTTCATAGATTTACAAGAAATAAATTAATTGAGATGAGAAAAGAAGATAAAGAAGCGAGCGAAAACAAGTTGGCTCAATATCAATATCCCTTTCCCTTTCCTCCTTCCTCCTTCACGAAGCGAATCATCGATTCATCGACCCGTATCATCCATATATTTACGAAATTTTTAAAAATAGAGTATATAATTCTCGAGAGAATTTTTCCTTCGGTTTCAATTTCGAGAAGAAAACTCGTAACTTCCGCGTTTACTCGACCTAAACAACGACCTAAACAAGACGGCGCAATAAAACAAATAAAAATGTCGGGATAAAATTTATCGAAATTGTTCAATAGCGGTTCCTCGTGGCTTCCATTGGATACCACCACTTATCGGTGTCTCGGTTAGAAGTGTATCTAGTCGAAACTAACGGTTCGATGACCAAGGATTTCATACAAAAAAGAAACCTCGTTGAAAAACCCGTTACGGCCGCCATGGGTTCAGAAACGGTGGCGTATGCTAAAGGCGCCTCGCTCGTTGACACCGGCTCGATTGCATAATTGCAACGCGATAAGTGGTCTTGTTTTCTTCCCTTCCCCCTCCTCCGAGGAAGGAAAACTGAGTTGCTCGCCTAAAGGTCGAGGTTGGTGAAACCGGCTTCGGCGAATAAAATCCCTGCCCTATCAAACCGCATTATTTTCGCAATCTCTCACCAATGTGATATTAGAAAAATATCGAAATATCCTTTTTTCCTCATAAATCCATTTCGTCGTTGATTATTCGGTCTACATTACTCGCTTGTTCCGGCGAACAAAATTGTGACGTAAAGAAATTTTATTGGGCTGCTCGTAAAGTAATTTCGTTCTTTCACACGAGTGTCACTAGTCAAACGGCCAACTTCATTCTAGAGTAGAAATTATTGGGTCGCTCGAAAAGTAATTTCGTTTTCTTGCACGAGTGTCGCTAGTCGAACATTTTTCCGGCCAACTTCATTCTAGAGTAGAAATTATTGGGTCGCTCGAAAAGTAATTTCGTTTTCTCGCACGAGTGTCGCTAGTCGAACGTTTATCCGGCCAACTTCATTCTAGAATAGAAATTATTGGGTCGCTCGAAAAGTAATTTCGTTTTCTCGCACGAGTGTCGCTAGTCGAACGTTTATCCGGCCAACTTCATTCCAAACCATGTTGTTATATATTTCGAGAGCATTGGCAGCATTTCATGGTTTATTCGTAAGAAAAATTCGTTCGATTCCGTGCACGGTTTGTGTTTTTCGCGTGTGACAACGAAGATGAGCAACAACGAAGATCAAGAGAAGCATTTTCCGCATTATTTTACTTTTATTCTACTTTTTCCTTCCGATAATTTCGACGTTAAATAATGTGCCACGTTCTGGAAGATCAATCGAAGCTAACGACAAACAGAATAAATTGCACCGATCGAATCGTACCGACGAATAACAACTCGTGAAATATGAATTTCTCGAATTCGACTGTTCACGATCACTCGGTGTTTCATTGTCACGGAAAAAAAAAAAAAAAAAACGAAATTACTTTTCGAACAACCGAATCGTTCAACGATAACGTTACAATCTAAAACGACATCCAAAGAAATCTTGGCGTCTCGTCAAATTGTCGGGTTGACACCGATCTCTTCCACCGGTGAATCGGTGAATCCCTTCTTCGAAAAAGTACCGTTCGTTCGAAGAAGAAGAAATTGCATAACAGAGAGTCGATTGCGCGTGTCGTCCTCGTCCTCGTCATTGTCTAGCACAGCCAGGGGTCTTTCGGGTGTCCACCTCGTGAACTTGTTGCCACCAACGAGCCGTCTAGCAACGTTGACGGCCAATGGCCGTCGTTTGGTGGCCAGAGAGAGAGAGAGAGTACCGTAAGGATATTCACGTGTAAGTAAAACAGAGGGGGATACAGGTGGTGCCCGGTCAACGATCTTACGCTCCCCGGTTCACGTATATATAAAGAGAAACGGGACGGGCACACGGCAGATCAACAACGGCAGCCATGATCGGCAAGATAGTTCTGTTCCTTTCCGCTTTGGCTCTGGCAGGAGCGCAGATACCCAGTCTGGGCTTCTGCCCCGAATACGTACCCATGGCCAACTTCGACATGACCAAGGTAAACGCAATCCTTTATCCTTATTATCCTTGTTCCCTTTTTTTTTTTCCCTCGATTTCTCGTCGAGATCGATCCAACAGAAAATTTAACTCTTTTATTCTCTTTCTCCCCTCACAGTTCTTGGGCGTTTGGTACGAGGCTGAGAGGTATTTCCAATTGACGGAAGTGGTGTCGAGATGCGTGATGGCCAATTACACGTTGGGGGCAGATGGAAAATTCCGCGTCAGCAACGAGGTTACGAACAGATTGTGAGTATATCTCTCGACTTTTATTTTATTATTTAGATTATAGGAATTATTCATCGAATATTGAAATCTGGATCTTTCGAATCAGCACGGGGATCAAGAGGGTGTTGGAGGGTGAAATAAAGAAAGCAGCCTCGAAAGCGGAGGAGGGAAAATTGATCGTTAAATACACGATACCGTTGACACCCGAGACCAAATACTCGGTCCTCGAGACAGACTACGAATCGTACGCTGTCCTGTGGAGTTGCTCGGGGATCGGCCCGTTCCACACCCAGAACGCGTGGGTCATGACGAGGGAGAGGCTGGCGCCGGGCACGGTGTTGCAAAAGGTGAATCGTCCTCGATTCTTCTTTCTTCTCTTCGATTATTATCATTCATTATTATTCTTCTTTCCATTATCTGTTCATTACATATCACGACGACATATACATTAAATTATCATATACAGGCGTATGCAGTTCTGGACAAGTACAAGATCTCGAAAACGTTCTTCGTGAAGACGAATCAGGAGGACTGCGCCCTGTTGGACACGAAACCGTCCCAGGAGCCGCAGGTCGAGGGGGGAGAGGAGAAGCCGGAGGACGTGAGATCGGCGGTGGTCCCGGACGCGCCAAAGGCGATCCTCGACTCGAAGAAGAGCCCCAACAACGAGAAAGCGGCCCACCCATCCGAAAATCCGAGCGAGAAGAAGCCGGCTGCCAACACGGTTCCGGAACGGATCATGGAAGTGGCGGATGCCGTGAAGGAGGAGGAGGAGGAGGAGGAGAAGGAGGCGCCGACGAAAGTAAAGGAGGAGGGGAATGTAGAACGGGCGGAGGAGAAGAAGAAGCTTTGAAAACTTTAAACTCGTCTTTTAAATCGGTTAATGATAAATTTTCAGCGAGGGAGGGTTGAAATGAAAATTGTAGGGCTTGTAGCGGTCTCGCCGTTTCGGGACCAGTCTCGCCCGTCGAGTTTCGTCGTGGCATTATCGAAGCTTTCATGGAAGGGAGGGTATATCGCTTATTGTTTTAATTTATGTACAAATGTAAGAGGGAGAAAAAAGAAAAAAAAAAAAAGAAATAAAAAAGTTGAATAAATTGTTACATAAAACTGACATGAAATCATTGTCTGTTAACTTTTATTACTCCCGAAGTTTTTTTTCCGAAATCGAGATCGAGATCGGAGACGCGAGAGGATTAGTGAGAAGAGAGAAAAAGGAGAATACACGAGAATCCACGTATTAACCGCATGATGTAAAAATTAAAAAAAAAAAAAAAAAAAAAAACGAAATATTCGAGAAAATATACAATTTCGTTCCTCGAATATATTAACAATAAAAAACGAAAAATGCGTAACGAAAGTAAATAAATACGCGTATACGCACAATCGGGATAAGTAATTACCGATAATAATCTACCGTTATCCCTATACAACAATCGTCGTGTTTCTTAATTATACGTACGAATGCAACGATTCGCTCGTAAAAGTTAACTGTAAACCGCGCTACAACGGATCGAACATTCGGTCGAAAGTTACTTTTCCCTAAAAACTTAACTCGCGTCGAGAAACGGCGAAGATCGAGATTAGATTAGATTAGAAAAGGGGGGAGGGAAGGAAGGAAGGAAGGAAGGAGAGAAAGAGGATCGAATTTTAATTTTGAAGAGGTATTAAATTCAGAGGTATAGGTCTGGGGTTTCTTGAACCTCGCTAACGTATACCGTTAGTGACCCACTAACAGAAATCTTCCGAACGCATCCAGCCAGCGTTCACAACAGTGGCCGCAAGGAAGGTGGAAGGAAGAGGAGCAGCACCAGTCACTGGCGGACAGTTGGACGCGTGAGAAGCGTGTGGCCAACCTTGAATCGCTTCCTCCGATCCTCGAGTTTTCAACGTGTGTACAACGATCCGGTACGTGTCCCATTCAAATCAATTCAATTCGTGACTCTCATACATTCTTTTTTTTTTTTTTTTTTTTTTTTTTTTCCCCTTCCTCGTCGAGGATCGCAGAGAGTATGGAAAGATTCGTTTTATAGGGATGGCCACGATTCTCGATCTTGGAATCTTGTTTATAATTTTCTTCGAATATGATAAATGGAATGTAAGACGATCTGTCTGTCATATTTTGGGAAATGCAATCGTATTTCTCGAAAAATTTAGATTTTAGTCAATCGGGGAATTTTTTTTAATAAATATTATTTTATTTTGTTTTATAATTAAATCTTGCGATTATTTGTATGATTCTATTGTATGTATATATATAAGAATTATACGATTGTTACATCAATATTAATTAATAATCAATATTAATATTATTAATAATAATTAATATTAATTAATATTTTTTCTTTTTCTTTTCGTTTCACTTTAAGATCGATAAATTTGACATTTTCCGCCGCGTTTCAAATACTCGATCAAAATAATACGAATTTTAAAACGTTTCTTCATCCGTTTTTCAGTTAATTTTTTTCACATCTTTCTCGAAAGTTTCCAATCCCCTTTATATTCTTCTCGTATCTTCTACGAAATTTCTTCTATTCCGTTTGCAGAAATGTTGCGGATATACTTGATTTTAATCGTAGCAGCGAGCGCGGCGATGGCACAAGTACCATTTTTAGGCTCTTGCCCCGTAGTGGAAACCATACCGAATTTCGATATAAAAAAGGTACGTAGAAGATACATCACGTTTATACATCACGTTATTGTGTTATTAAATAGAAAACTGGAATAAAATTTTCTTGCGCATACCTGTGTTATTGACTTACTTATGAGGCAATGCAACCTGCATTTAGAAAGCTGTCCTCAATAAGATATTGATATACATCCGACGTAACGAGACATATGCAAAGTATGTATACTCATAATTTATGAATATAATGAGATTCGCGCGGAAAATTTTTCTTTCTAAAAAGAAAGCCCGTCTATTTCTATGTATCTAACATTGAATATATTATCCGTTATTTGCTTCGTTATTTGTGTTCGCAGTACGTGGGCAAATGGTACGAGATCGAAAAATATTTCGCCTTCTTCGAGTTCGGCGGGAAATGCGTTACTGCGATTTACAGCGAGGGCGAAAATAACGCGATTAATATTTTGAACAAGCAGATATCGGCTCTGTGAGTACGATTCGATCGTTATTATCCTCGAATTAATCTTCCAAGTTAATCTTCGTTGTAATCCTTCGTCGATATTAAATAAAATAAAAAATAAAATAAAATAAAAAATAAAATATAAAGTAAAATATTAAATATTTAGGACCGGAGTTTCGTCGAGTATAGAGGGGATTGGAAAACCGGTTGTTAAGATCGAAGAGGCGAAATTGATCGTTACATTCCCAACTTTGCCTCTTCCGGTTGATGCCCCTTATTGGATTCTTGACACCGACTATACGAGCTATTCTGTCGTGTGGAGTTGTTCCAACTTTGGCGTGTTTAGGTAAGTGATTTGAGAAAATTTGTTCTTGATATCTTTTTTTTTTTTTCGAGTAAAGGGGTGAGAGAGAAAATTTGGTATTCCGTTTCAGCATGAGGAACGTTTGGATTTTGGCAAGAGAGCCAAAGCCACCGGTATCCGTGTTGGAGAAAGCTTATCAAGTATTGGATAAAAATAATATAAGTAGGGCGTATTTTATTCGTACAGATCAGAAAAATTGCCCTCTAGAAAATTAAATAAAGTACGATCAAAAATCACGTTTGTTTGAAAAAGTAAGTTGTTTTTGTAAAATATGTTTTTTGTGCTCAATTTGATTATTAGATAGTGATTATTTATTCATCTTTATTTATTCTATTTGAATCTAATAATTTAAGTATCTATAGTTTACTTTATCGAGCGTCGATAAAGATATTTGACGATTGGATCAAATTTATATTCATGCAATCCAATAGCTTAAAAAACTCGACCTATTTTTATTTTATTATTAATTTATAATTTAGCTTGATTTTATAAAATTACGAATACTAAAATTTTACGCTTTTATTGCATAATAATTATTCACCGAAGCAGATGTAGATATAGTTAAAATGTTATTATACCTTATGTTAATGTGTTGTTATATTTATTTATTTATGTGCTAAATAGAATGATGTAATGTACGATAAGATAAAAAAATATATTAAAAATATGTGATAATAAGCGATTTTATATCGAAGAATTAAAAAAATTTAAAATTTAAGTTTAAAATTGTGAATTTTGAACTGTGTATTAAATTTTATTATTGCATCGTGAAAAAAATGTATTTAAAAAAAGGAATAGCACGAGCAAGATGTAGGATAGACCTGACATCTTACGGGATTTTGTGTCGCGTGTTCTGAAATACCGACATCGTAAAAATTATTGTTCACATCTTTTGTGATTCACCATAGGTAATTATCGACAACGATTTTTTACTCGTACTTAAAAAATTATAATTCGAAAATATTTCGGAATAAAGATTAATATCAAAAGCAATTACGATATTTTATACAAATACGATCGTTATTTTACCGCAAAATTAATAATTATTTTCCATCCGTATCTTTAATTTCAAAATGCGAAATTTGAATTTTTTCGTAATTATAATTTAAACCGTAATCGATTTAATCGCAAAAATAATAAAAAAAAAAAAAACCGCGATTTGATCACGAAGACTAAATGATGGATCAACAAATTTATCGGTCAAAAAACAAACTACCATTACCATCACCATTACCAACGCTACTACTACATATTTAAAAACGAGCACAGTGACAAAGTAGTAACAAAAATGACTTCTCATCCTTTGGACTCAAAGAAAATCCAAAAGATGAGAAATCATTAATAGTTGCCCTCTTCTATGGCAATTTGCCGGGCCTCTTCGGCTCGTAGCCTCTTCTTTCTTCGGGCGCGATGCCCGCTGAAACTTAAATCTAGGCTCGAGATTTATTTCCTAATAAACGAAGAAAAAATACGAAATGAAAATTGTATCGACCGTACATCGGCGCAAAATCTCGAGCTCAACGTTCGTTTCGAGATCAATTTCACGACCACGACCGCGGAATTCGAAAAATCGATAAGTAAAACCAGAAACAACTGGTGATGACCACTCGTCTCAGTTTCACTCTCGATTTTTCAAATTATATTTCCTGAAACAGGTTGCCACACGAAAACGCGCCTACCCGAGCAGAGACTGTGACAACCTGCCCGGCCCTACCTACTTACAATTACTAACAGACACACCAGAAAGTATGCTACCTATCCTACCTAGCCCTATATTTAAAAAGTGGCAAAACACAGGCACGCCAACACACTCACTCCACGGTTCTCACGCATACAAACTCGGGCGCAAAAAGTCTACACTGGGAAGGACGTCCCGGGACGCCTTCGACACCCGAGCTTAATATTACTTTCACACTCTAAGTTTACGTACCATTTTCCTGAAATCGATTGACGATGGCTAGCGATCATTGCGTAAATCGCGAAAAAAAATGCGTATCTCAATCATAATTATATATTTTCATGATCAAAAGAATAGATATGCTCTCGAAAAAAGTAATAATATTAGACTTGATGGTATGAAATTTGATGCCTTTGATATAATTTAAGATAATAAAATCGTATAAAGAATAAAAGATAACGACGCAATTCCACAGGCTAACCATACATACATACACACACACATACACAATGTGGAGAATACGTCGCGCACGAACACTAACGCATCGTCAATCGCTGAGAAATTGTTATAAACTTATAAACTAGTATCATCATGCCCATCACCTTTCTCTCACACAAGTAACACCTGGGCACGTGAGTGAGGTCCTGGCAATGGACATGGAAAAGGTTAAACCTGAAAATCCTGAGCTAAAGAAAGTATCAATATATTTATTTTTCATCTAACGAGCTAATATGTTTTCCTAGTTTATCAATATTCTTACTTTAATTTATATTATTTGTAATTCTACTTGATTGATTTTCAATAAATTATTAAAAAGAATTAGAATTGTTAAAACAATTATATTTAAAAAAAAAAGGTTAATTAATATTCATTGCAATTTAATATTAATATTAATAGAAATATCCTCAGGCGAATTCTTCATCAAAGTATATTTTCGAAAAAATATAAAAGTATTCAAAATTTGTTACTCTGATTTCGAATTCTGCCTTGTCGCGAAACGTCTTCTTGCATATATTTAATACATTTTGTATACGAAAGAAATGAAATTAATATCTTTATAATATTATATATCGATATTATATTAAAATTTTATCAATATAAAATTAATTATTAAAAAACGCGATATGCAAGAAAACCTATCCTGATCTAATAAATAAAATACAAAAAAAAAAAACTGTTACTACTCATGGATATAATAAATACCCATGGTCACTGTGCTCGTGCAAAAATTCTACGTATACAACCAGTCACCCGTGTCGATTTGGACTTTTCATCCTACGACATGATTGAGTGGACCAGAAGAACAAAAATACATGCGACTTACCATTAGATGCGACGAAATTGCATTGCTATCGATGATGCTTATTCTCTTGAAACACTGACTTGAATATATAGCACAAACGAATATTTAAAAGAAAAAGAAATAAAGAAAATAAAAGATTATTAACACATTATACACGTTATACACGTTATTAACACGATTTATATTAGATGTAGTCGCGAAACACTGACTCAAATTTCACGAAATGTTATTATAATTGAATTTAATTAAAATTATTATGTTGTAAAAAATATTCGGAATACTATTACGAAGCAATCACTGACTCTAACGGTCGCATTGCACGCGATCACAAAATAGCAAACTTCATTGCGTCACTATGGCAGCCATATTGGAATTTTCCCGCCTTTGAAATGAGACCAGTAATCAGTTAACATCTTGTAAAAAGAAAAATCAAAATTTCTAAATAAATATTTAAAATATATGGAATTAATTGATTATATTAAAATAGAACAACAATCAAGCATAAATTTTATCTTAGGAAATCGTAATATAAGCTACTCTATTCATTCGCTGTGATTCTAACCGTCAAATAAATGAATAAAGAAAAAATAATACTTCAATTACTAAAGATTTTTTAATTTCCAGTAAAAAATGCGTAATAATCGAACAATAGTATATAAACGACAGTAATATATAAAAAATAATCATGGAAGTAAAATACTATTAATAAATAATTCACACACCTCGCGGAAATACGAATACGTCTAAGCAGCACAATTTTCGACACTACAATGGCACCTCGCGCTTCTGTTTCGATTGTCGAATTATAAATTAGGGAGGGGGAATCGACAACACTCGTTCACATAACATCGTTCGACAACAAATCGAAACGTGTCGAGCGTGACACAAACATAACCCTCAATTTCTCAGAAAAGCTATTATAAACAATGTTTTCACTGCCTCGAGCAAAAGGTACACGAAAGAGAAAGACAAATATATAAACAATACAGAAGTTGTACGTTTAGAAGAACGAATACATACCATTGAAATACGCATTACTTTAATTTGATGAAACAAGTTATGAATGTACATATAAAAATGGATAATGAATTAATTTTTAACGTTCGCTTCTCAATAAAAAAATATAAAAATCTACTTCAAATGAATTTGCTTTTATGAAAAGAAATAAAACGTTACTTGATATATAGGAAAATCATAGAATAAATCGCCATAGCGTGTATTATAAATCATTATTCTTTCTGGTCATTCTGGTTATCAATCTGCACAAATAAAGATTAAAAAAGATAAAATAAACGTATAGAGTTAAAAATATATTAAAATAGAGCGATAATAAAACTAAAATTCTTGTTGAAAAGCTTGTACGTAGTATAAACTACCGGTAACCTCAACAATCGGACAATCGAACGAAAAAACATAAAAAAATTCACAAAAATTATAACTAATTTCGTTATCATAGTGTTCAATGGATTATTAAATAAACGAAATAATGTATAAATTCACTAATAAAGTAGAAATTACTTACTTTGTAGCGAGGTTACGTATCTCAAATCGGTGACACGTCCTGTCACGATGATTTTCGATAAAAGAATGACGCCACGAGCCACAGTTTCGCCTAGGAGCTTTCTAATTGGCTGGAACTCGTGGTTCCTTATTCACTCAAAACCGCGCGGAAAATAAAACTATAATATCGTATAATACACTTTTATCGTGAATATAATATCGAAATTTTACAAAAATTCGCTTATTAAAAATATAATAAGAATAAATTATTGAAATTAATTTAATATAAAGATTAATTAAATAACACATAAAGGCGGAAACATAAGTAATATATAAAAGTTAATATAAAATTTAAATAAATTAACAGTATTTAATTAAAACTAAAAACTGAAACATAAAAGAACAAATTTAAGATTATTAAATTTAATTTTTTACCATTAATCGCTTTTTTTCTTTCGTTCATCGAATGTAAAAATAATAAAATATAATATAAGAAATATAATCGAAAAAATACACAAAGATTTTCACACGCTATACAATAGATATCTCGTTCGTACTTTCTCCCACATGAAAAATACAGGAAATAAACAAGAAATGAAATAAATCGTGCGTTTGCTAATAAAAACACGGTATCAATACTGTTCAATTAAACAAATAAAGTAATATGGGGTACGTGTCACGTGTTAGATCGATCCCTAACTCTTCGTCACGTGGCGTGTATGCTAACAGACACCGTTCAATTGCAAAATCTACAGGATGTCATCAGCGATATATTGTGCAACGGAAAGAAAAAAGGATCCCACCGAGACACCCCACAAAAACAGAATCGTGTTAAAAGGAGGGACGTGTGGACCATGCATGCATATTTCTCACAGGCTGACAACCTCCATTAATCAATAT